CCCTCTGTATAATTCCAACTATCAAAGAAAATGATAGTTATTTTCCTTTTAAAGATTTTTGCTTTTTATTAGGTAATGATACATCATCATGATGTTTTCTTTTTCTAACACTTATTATTTTTCTTTCTTCATGGTAAATTTCATAAGTAATCCTTTCTTTCCTTAGAGAAGCTTCCAGTGTTTGAGTGTCATTTATTTTGAAAATGTTAGGAGCAATTTTTTCATCTTGCTCCTTTTTCAAAATACTTCCAATGGTGCTGTAATTCTTGGGTTCCATGGTAGACCTAATGTAAATTAACTTCATATTGTTATTTTTATATATGGGCAATTCTACATATCACTTAACAAATGACTAAATTTTGATCCCTGAAATTCTTGGTTCACTTTGTCTGGTTTTGTTGCAGTATGTCCCATATCTAGTTTGGCTAAAGTGTGGTGCAATAGCTTCATAAACTTCATGTACATATTTTTCTTCTTTTTTTTCATTACTTAGATTCGAACTGTATGTATCTGCAAATGCTGGAGTTGGCATGGGTTTATTGTGCGAAGAGGAGGAAGGGTAAGAAGAAATGGTGGACATATTTTTTTCTATGAAATTGAAACAAAAAAGTTTTAATTGGATTAATCACATGATAAATTTGATAAACTTGATTGGATGGTTGATTTGAATTACGTGATCGATTCTTTTTCTTGATCATCATCCTTAGTTTTGCAAACACTTAAAAAAATGCTTGAAGATGTGCAAGTAGGATTTATACCCTAAGAATTTGATTAGATAATTGGCAGACCCACATCTAACTGGCTTAATCAGATACAAAAACTCCTAATGATAATAATTCCATCCTGACAATCAAAACCCACTTTGTGTTCCTTGTAACAAAGGATAAAAGCAATAGACAGCTAATGTGGTGTAAAGATAATTACAAAGTGTTTTATAGAGAAGTAAGTCACTTGAGACAAAAATTGGAAGGTCCATACTCTGAGAGATAAATAGCAACATATCTTGGAAGTAGGGAGACAAACTTACTTTCGTCATATAGTTTTTTCATCTGTCATCATTCCTATAATGATGTGATGTTCAGTATATATACAGTGATTTTACAACAGTAAATGTACTTTTAATAGTTAAGAAAATTCATTTTTAGGAATGTAGAATCAATATTCATTAACCTCACTTGTACAGCTTTCTTTGGAACAAATATAAAAAACTTGAAGATACTGACTGCTTATAATAACAAGGTTAATGAAATGAGCATTCAACCATAACAATTGAAAATTTGTGAACCCAAGGCTCATTCTTTTATTCCATTTACAAAATAGACAATTGGGTCAGGAGGCACCTCAAATTTCTAAAATGAGGCAGCAATCTATATAATATACTAATGCCTGTGAAAAACTTGTGAAGAATTCAAGCAACCGGCTTGCTGATTGTTTGTTTAAACCATTTATTATAAACTGAAAACACAAGAAAGTAATGACATCAAAGATGTATTTTAAAAAGTTAAATCACGAATTACACATACTCATCAGAAAGACAGATGAAATGATTGCAAGATTGCAAGAGAGAACTTTGCAATAAGGATTGGATTGTTCTTGTCAAAACACATATAGTTATTCTGAACTATCTCAAGGAGTTAGGGATTATATGATTAAGTTGAGTTATTGATGTTAGCATAAACAACTACAGGTAGGTGTGGTTGAAATAAACATAAATGATCTTTATTAAAATCAAAAAGCCAGACTGGCATAAATATATTTTTTTTAATAATTGAATTATTGGATGTAATTTCTTCTTAATGATATTGTGTTGTTATAAAGTTGAGGAAGCTGAGTCATAAGTAGATCTAGATTGTATTTATCATTAAAGCCACAGCCCATGATCATCTAAAAATTATAATGACGTGTTAAACAGATGTATAAATTAAGCCATTTCATCAAAATATCACACCTCCGCCACTAGAACATCTACATATTGTAATGATGTAGAATATTACTGAAAGAGAAAATATTTTGCTAACTCAACAAGTTATCATGAGGAATTTATAATCAGTCAATTAAAAAGTTTTGGCTAAAGGTAATCAGTGCAAAATTACTATACTGGAGGGCATTAAATCTCTAACTTAATTAGTGGCCCGTCGATCAACGATAGATATCAAACTTACAACGGATTTCACGTGGCATATAAATAAAATGAAAATTACAACTAAAATTGAATGTATCCAAAATTCAAATTTCCAAATTTCCAAATTTATAAAACAAACAACAGAATATTTTAAAATTTGTCTATGGGTGAGGCATTATATTATTATGTTAGTATGTTGGTATTAGTGATGGTTAAACAATTTTGAAAAATCCTTTGTAGTACAAAGGATCACTTGCCCAAAAATTTTTACCCACATCGGCATATGACTATTAAAACTTTACTCAATATGTTCATATGATGTTTTATCCGCAAAAATCATGATTCCCAAATTTTCATATGACCTGGGCAAAAATTTTTTAAAAATTTATCCTTTTTGGAAACTGACTAGCGCAATGAACGCAGTATAGTACCCGTGAATAATAATCTGCGGTGAAAGAGAAGTGTAACCCGCAATTCTTTTTTTTTCATATAAAATTTTTTAATTCATACAGAAACACACACAATAAATAATATTAATTTTCCTATTCCCCAATGTTATAATTACTTTTTTTGTCAGTGTTAGTATTATTAACATTATAGGTTAAGGAAATTGAAAAACCTTCAAGCGTAGTGCCAAGCTTTTCTAAAGTAACATGTTTTGTGGCAAACTTGATTTGGGAAAAATATTAACATAAATAACATAAATAACCTTAATTATAATGTCGTACAAAAGTTAAGGCGTTGTTTCTCAGGAGAAAATCTATCTTTCTTTAACCATTGTTTACCGATAAGGTAATTGAAGTTTTTGTAATAAATGGATGAATTTTTGCTCAAATCTGAAATTTCAGATTTTTTATCTCAAAAAAAAAAAAAAAAAACTTCATCCTTTCTTTATATGATAAATATAAATTATTTTTTTACGTATTATTTATTTTCGAATAACCTATTTATTAAAAAAAAAATTTTTTTTATTCCAACCGCATTTTATCGAAAGTGAATTAGGTGAAAAAGTGGAGGAAAAAAAATATGCCTAGAGGAAAAAAAAAACCTACTCGTAAAAACGTTACAACTGCTTGTCTAGAATGTAAAAAGAGTAAAACCAAGTGTACTGGAAACACTCCGTGTGGGAATTGTACAAAGAGAGTCATGAATAGGTGTAAAGCTTGTAAAAATAATATTAAAGATACAGATATATCCAAACTTGAAGCTTGTGGCAAATGCAAAACTCAAGCAAGCAAATCTTGTGAATTTCCACAAGAAAAACCCAGGCGTGGGCCACCACCTAGGCAAACGAATCAAAAGGCAATAAATTGTATCACTATCAATAGAATTGATAATAGTGACAACAACAACAACAACAACAACAACAACAACATTATATATAACAACGATAACAATGTTCCCGTCTCACCTTATGAGTCAAGTACTGCCACTTTTTCACCGAATTCAAACTTTTCTCCCTTTCTCCCCCCCCTACCCTTATCCTTTCCTTCGCCACCACCAGATACCCCATTCGATATCAAAGATAAAAATATCTTTGGTGAAGGAATGTTGTTCGATAAAGAATCAATGAATATTGAGGAATATAATAGTGTAAATGATGACTCGTTGTTCAGCGAGTTTATCATTTTCGAAGAGCCAATATCTGGTAAGTTTCTTTGTTTGTTAATTGAAAAACAAATCTTTTGTTGCTTTTTTATTAAACGCTTTTAAATAAATGCTATGTTCAGATGACAATAATAACGATGATATTGATAATAATAATAATGGTGATGATAATAATAATGGCGGTAATAATAAAGAAGAAGAAGATGATAAATTATCATCAACGTCAACAATATCGACGTCAACAATACCAACGGCAACAATGCAAATACCAACAGATACAGCAATTATACCAGGAGTTGCTACTGAAGATGATAATAATAATAATTATTATTATTATTGTGATCAACAACTTCCCCATGATCCCGTTTATATTTATATTTTCCAACCACACGATTATACTCTTTACGAGCACCTTCCAAGAACAGAAATGGTAAGTTAATTAATTTCTAATTTGTTCCTGAATTATTATTTTTTATTATTCATTTAGTTTTCAATATTATTGACAACAGTTTTTTTTAAATAATTATCAGGACCTATTATTGGGTCTCTCTCAAGCACCACCAAGTATCATTGTCCCCCTAGAGGGGCAATACACCGCAGGCACGCAATAGGCATCGCAACACGGAAAATGACGAGTTATGAGGAACTTTATCGAATTTTTTTGCAATCCTGTAAGTTAGTTATATATGTGTGTTTTATTGAATGAGTATCATACATGTATATATATAATAACAGATTTTCATCTTCTATTCATAAAAATAGGGATTACGTTGAATTATTTATTTTTTTAACATTATTATGTCACTATTATTATTATCATCATCATTATTATTATTATTATTATTATCATCATTATTTATCATTAGCACATTTATTAAATGTAAAGACACTTTTTTACTATTTTATATTATTTTTATACTATATAATAACTAAATAGCAATAAAATAATAATTTATTATTATTTGCAATTCCTTGGTAGAATAATTTTATGGCAAGATAATAAACAAAAAGTAAAAAATCGTCACATTTTCTTCTACCACGATTGTATCGTGATATTAATAAGGACTAAGTGGGCTTCTCTTGTGTAAATTCTTTTTGCAAATTGGATGATTATAAACGTTCATCGCGCATCACTAAATTCTTTGATTATTAAGGATATGTGTAATGTCGAACCAGCCAATACATCAAATTTAGATGCTATATCAGGTTGTATTTCTTGATGATAAAAGAAATTATGGTCAGCCATGTTTATTATTTCACACATACACATACAAAATAAATAAATATTGGCTGGAACTTTCGAACGTGTTCCCTAATCCCTCCTCCTCCGTTTACCAATTGTCCATCTTTTTCTTTAGCGTAAAAATAAACTAAACCTTTAGTTCGAATTTCCAATAGACAAAAAAAAACACCTGATAAGCAATTGTTTATTACCCCATACAGCAGCCCTGCTTGTCAGGATCGTGCAAATCTAGAGGTTGGAATCGTCCAAAAAAAAATCCTTAGTCGATTAAATGTTTTTTTTTAATTTACAAATTACGAATTCATTTCAAAATAAATTCACACAAAACCATGTGTTACGATTCGTTTTTTTAAAGGTCTCCTATATAGAACCACCGCTTAAATCATTGGAACTTGAAGCCAATGAACCATTGGACCTTGTATCAGAAGTATTTATTCGTTCACATGTAAAATTATCATCAACAACACCACCATTATTGTCGTCATCTTCATATTGATGGTATTAATACTCTTCCGCATAGAAATTTTCCATTTTGAATAATAAAACACAAAAATCGTAATTGGCCAGACAATAATAATATTAACATAGTATTAGTATTAGTATTAGTAGTATTAGTAGTTGACTATTAGTTGTTCAAAAAAAAGTTTGATCGACTATTTTAGTCGATTCCAACCTCTCTATGCAAATCATTTGTCCTGCCAAAATTGTTAACAAGTGATTTTGAATCAATTCTTGACAAAGACTCGTATAAACCGTGTTTGGTATCTTCGCTTTGTAAAAATTTGACCATGTTTCTTCTCTATACGTTATACGATTTTTATTAAGGTCTATTTCTTCAAATTCGATTAGTGGTGATGGTGACGATGGGAAATTGTTAGTGTCAATCCCGTAAAATTTGATGCATACTTTTTGGTATTAGTACTGACTGATCCAATGGTAATTTTTTTGATTATCCGTATCTTTCTTCAAGATAAAGCTATTTGCATGAAGCAAGTTAACTTTAAATACCCATCCAAGGGGAGAGATCACTAGACATATAAATTTTAAGACTTCATGACTTGCAGTGCGCCAAAACTGCGGCTACGATTTTAAGCTAAAGAAATCGGTTCATGTTTCCCCATAGAGGAATAGAATTAATACATATACTCTAAAGAAACCTCCCAGACACATCTTTTTATATATGTAAATGAACAATAAATTTTTATCAACGTCCAACTATCCTAAAGCTGTTAACATTCTTTTCTTTGATTATATTTTTCTTCAATCTCAACGTACATGCATCAACTTTTCCCTCGACCCGCAAAGCATATGATGATTACAACCATATTAATATTAATTAATATACATGATTTTAGTGGTCCCAGTTAATAATTTTTCGGGATAATCTAAAGAATTCTTTATGTTGAACGCGTTAATTGAAAATTTATATCCGTGATTTTTGTGATGGATTTTCTATGCAAAGGACATGCTATCATCCTAGAGTGTGAAGGGTGGGATTTTAGGATGCTAGTGAAGACCTGTCAGTAGCATTCTCTGACATAACTATTTCGACTACTAAGTATGATCAGAATTTAAATATTAATTTAATACAAATGAACGAACGATCTATCTTTTATTTATGAGTTCATTTTGCGTTCTCAATTGTTCTTAAATGTAATTTTTTTAATTATGTTGTCAGCTAAAAGTAAAAGTTTTCCCAATCTTACAATTCGGATGCGAATTTAATATTTAATATTCTATTTTTCATCATTGCAATTATATTTATATTTTTTTTAAATCACTTACTGGCTATAGTTTTTTGTATTAATATTAAATAATAATTATATTATTTATCTAAAATTAAAATATTATTGGCTAATATTAATATCTTGAAGGTTAATTATTAATCTTAAAAATTTTGATAAAGAGAAATTATTATTATATATAGACGAGGAACAACGTTAAATTTTATTGTGTAAAATTTTTTTTTTAAACATTACAAACAATCTGCATTTTTTTTATAAATAAATCATATATATATGCAATAAAAAATTATTTATAAAAAAGAAATAAAAAGAGCATTTACAAAAAAACAATGGAAAAATAAGTAAATATATATAATATTTATATATATTTTTATATACAATATTTAATAAAAATAAAAAAGAAAAATAATTATAAACATTTATATAAAGAAGATTGTCGTGATAATTAAAAAAAAATAATAATATAATATAAAATTTAATAAAAGTTCCATGATATTAACATCATGTTAATTATTCTAATGATAGTACTTGTGTTTGTAGTACTTGTGTTTGTAGTATTTTGGATAGTATTTCTTGTAGTATGCTTCAGCATCTGCGTCGGCGTTTGGTTCAGCATCAGCTACTGGTTCGGGACTGGCATCACGTTTGTCGTGGTAGTACTTGTGTTTGTAGTATTTGTGTTTGTAGTATTTTGGATAGTATTTCTTGTAGTATGCTTCAGCGTCGGCGTCGGCGTTTGGTTCAGCATCAGCTACTGGTGCGGGACTGGCATCACGTTTGTCATGGTAGTACTTGTGTTTGTAGTATTTGTGTTTGTAGTATTTTGGATAGTATTTCTTGTAGTATGCTTCGGCATCAGCGTCGGCGTCGGCGTTTGGTTCAGCATCAGCTACTGGTGCGGGACTGGCATCACGTTTATGGTGGTAGTACTTGTATTTGTAGTATTTGTGTTTGTAGTATTTTGGATAGTATTTCTTGTAGTATGCTTCGGCATCGGCGTCGGCTTCGGCATTTGGTTCAGCATCAGCTACTGGTTCAGGGTTAGCTACTGGTTCAGGACTGGCATCACGTTTATGGTGATAGTACTTGTATTTGTAGTATTTGTGTTTGTAGTATTTTGGATAGTATTTTTTGTAGTATGCCTCAGGATCACGTTTAGAAACTGAAATTTTTTATAAAGTTATTATTATTAATACATTGAAATATTTTTTTTTAATTATTATTTATTTTTATATATTAAAAAAAAAACTTACGAGATTCATCTTCGATATCTTCGGCTACTTCAGCAGTGAAGACAGCTACAACGAACATAAACATAAGAAACAAAAGTGTAAGATTAAGATTCATTTTGATTATTTCGTTATAATATTTTTATTATTATAATATTATTATTATTAATCTATTGTTATTCCTTTTGGAAGTGAGGATTTAAAACACGGAAATTCAAGGTGTTTATATACAAAATTTTGATAATAGATAATTTATAAATAAACATCAAGATCATATATTTACATCATATTGCGATAATAAAATAAGTTTATTCATTCTAAATCATAGAAAATTTAAAAGCCACGAGAATGAAATTACTTTAAAAATAAATAATTAATTCATTGATTTTAGCATAGCCTTCTTCATACTATTTTAAGAATAATTTTTGATTAAAAGAAAAGTCTTCGTATTCACGATTTTTGACGTATATGTTGGTTACATCATTTACTCCATAACTAGGTATTTTATGATATTACCTTTTTAGCTTTTAATTTCTTTTTGGTAATTTCATTTTGTTTTCTAAAATAATGATAATTTTTAAAATTAATTTCCATTTTACCCCAATATTTTAATTTCTAAGCCTCGTGAATTTACTCTTTTAATTTTATTTACATATTTATTTATTTATAAAAGTAAACAATGCGTAGGAATTTTTTACCAATTCTATGGAATTGCCTATTATGGTAAAATTTTATGAGTGTGGCTCTGCAATTATTTGCTTTTCCATTGTGATTGGTTATAAATAGAAAAACTGGAAATTGGCGACTTTTAATTAAAAAAAATACGAAAAAAAGGGAATCATAATAGTAAATAATCGTTGTCATTTACTCAAAATGAACGTTATGAAAATAGACTATTTTTCAATTGGGAAATTAGAATAAAATAGTCATATATATATATATTAGTATACGACAGATATAGAATCAACAATAAACTCGATTATCAGCGATGGAAATCAATCAACAACTTATTTTAGGTATAAAATTGATTTTTCACAATAATGTTTATTTTAGAATAATGTTATCAGAATGTTTATTTGATTGTAAACGCATTTTTTACTTTTAAATTCCAAGAATCATAGACGCCAGATAACGATAAAATGATTAATAAACATGATTTCATATATATTACCATTATATAGTATATCAGTGTGAGTAAATTTCTAATACCTCCTCACCTTGATACAATCTTGATATATAATTTGGATTGTAACAAATAATAATACACGTATTATTATTAGCAATCCCATTTGATAACCAATTTGTTACCCAAAGTTAAAACTATTTCAAGTCGAACTCATAAAAACTTTGGATAAAAAGTTATGTTCTTGATGTGAAGTGCTTAGGAACCATACTTGATAGAATTTGGAGATGAGAGTTATTGCAACAAATCGTATGCGAGTCAAATACGTCTATACGATTGTCTCTCGAGAAACTTTCCCATTAATGTATTATGATTATACATAATTAAATCGTACTACATAAAGAAGTTATTAATAGCCATACTCAACTTTTCTACAAGTATTAGTAGGACCCTGAACAAGATGATTAGAACCGTCCGTGTTCATATGCAAATTACCGTATTTAGAAGGTTTCACAGGATTAAGGCATTTTTGCCGTGTTGTTTGGACACCACCATTTTGGTTAGGGTTAGGTGGTGCTTTACTGTGGTACAACACCTCTTGTTATCGTTGTTGCGATATGCGACGAAATCACAAAATGGAACTCAATCTCTGTTTATTGTACCGTGTGAAAATGAAATTTGTGAAATTCAAATTGGTCAATCAGTATTACATATCCAAACGCCTGCATTAAATCAAAATTAAAAAATAATAGTGGGCAAATGATTAATTCTTTTATTGTTGAAAAAAAAACTACAAAGTGTTAAAAATTATACAAGTATATGAAGAATAATAATAAAAGTAACAAATATAATGAGTTTGAACACAAGGGATGTTGATTATTAACAAAGAGATGAAAAAAACGATAAAAGAGAAAATATTGATATTAACATTTTCTCAAAAATATTGTTTTTAATGAAAAAGTAGCCAAAATTATGTAATAAAAAATTGAATTGGAAGATCTTTAAATTATAACTTATAAAATTTTTGAAGCATATTATTTATTATGTATGTTTTAGAGCAATTATTAAAGAAATTTACATATTGAATTGTTTTTTAAAAATAATTAAATCCTTTTAATTTCCAATTGACAAAATCTCAAGTATAAAAGGTTATATCCCTTTGCAAAGTTTGCATACTTGAAAAATACTTATTACACCACTCAAGTAGAAATTAATTAATGTTTTTTGAGCATGAAATAAGTATGTTTTAAGCACATTTCAAGTGTAATTTAAGCACATTTTAACTATTATGGGGAGACACTTGAAACATTCTCGTTTCTTTCAAATTTAAGCAAGCATGATTTTCTACTTACTTATCTATTTCATTCTTAAAATTACTAGAAAATACATTGTTCATTTATCAAATGGACATTTATTTTTTTAAATTTTATGAATAGCAATAATTGTGATAATAATAATAAAGTAATAACTAAATTTTTTCTTTAATTGTTGTGTGAAAAGAACCCCCATTGTTTAACTATGAACATCAATACAACGTTATATATATAATAAAAATTATTATTATTAGTCAAAGCATAACGCAGTAAAGTAATAATATACGTACGAACAATAATAGTAAACCCCATTTTGGTAAGGAAAGAAATATTAATGTATATATTTAGTAAGAATTATTTTATTATTAGTCAAAGCATAACGCAGTAAAGTAATAATATACCCCATTTTGGTAAAATATTAATGTATATATTTAGTAAGAATTATTTTATTATTAATAATATATTAATTACACGCGTAACAATAAACCATAATGATAATAGTATACAATATTATTACTTACCTTGATGGCCTCGTGCATATTAATACAATAATAAGTTAATACAATCTATATACAATAAATTACTTGCCCGCATACATAACAATAACCATAATAGTAAACCTCGTTAATACAGTTATATATATATACAACAAGAATTATTATTAGTAATTGATATATTATTACTTACCACCCCACAACAATAAGTTATTATCTTTAAGTTAATGAATAGATGAGTGGGCGAAATAAAATAAACCAACATTTCAAATCATACACTCAAAGATCCATATATTGTTTGTTCATGTGTCAACTGTTTTAATTATCAGATTTTATATTGGTTGTGTGACGTATCCTGCAGATCAATTAATGTAACATTAAATAATTTCCTTCGTAGTCCTTTTATAAATAGTAATAATTGACATTTTCTTAAGTCATAGTACTAGTAGCTATAGTATTAGTAATACATAATTATTGTAATTTATATCACCTTGTTAAGGAAATAAGGCTTATTTATAATTTTACAAATAGTTAAAATCCCTTACAATAATATTAATATTAATATAGAATTTGTTGCATGTGAATTAGTATTTTATAAAACGAATAAAATGCGAATAAAACGAATAATTCCAATAATTCCAATAATTCCAATAAACGATAATTCCAATAAACGAATAATTCGAATAGAACTAATAAAACGAACAGAACTAATAAAACGAATAATTCGAATAAAATGAATAAAAGGATAAAGCGAATAACCCTTAAATTCGAATGCAACGTAAAAAGCAAAATCGACGCACCGTTGTTTGCAATTTTTTAATCCACGAGCTGGGGTAGCAGGTCTATCTATACATTGTTTTCACGAAGCTCGCTGTTTCGTTTTCGTTTAAAAACTTGTTCTCCTTTGCGGAGAACTGATTGACATGTAACAACAATTTTTCGTACAACATTTTTTTGATTGCATTTTGAGTTTTCCTCTAACAGATTAATTGATAAGGACGTAAATTGAAAAGAAAAAATTACACTATTTAAAGAACAACTTCTTCATCACCAAACTCTAATGATCGATTTATCGTGATTCAACAATAAAGGAATTTTTAGCATTCTCTGAAGAATCAAAAGTGATAAAAATAGAAACAAAATTAAAACTTGGAAAAATATGTCGTTCGCCTCACGTTACTACAAGGTATGTTTGCCGCAGTACAGATTTATGTGATGATGAGCAGGACCCCCTCCTGGGATTCTTTTATATTTTAATTGAACATGCGCAAATGAACTATATATATATGTAATACAAAAAAAAAAGTAAAAATGGATCAAGTGACACGTTGCTGATTAATTCAAATTTTTCTTTTTATTTCTCTTAAATCCCTTTGATTCAAGCAGTTCGATCTCCTGTATTTAGCAAGAACATTTTCGTCCACCTTTAAACAATCAAAATTGAAGGACAGTATATTTACCAAATCATCGTATTGTTAACATTGTTTACATTCCATCCCAAAAAGAAATATATATGTGTGTGTGTGTATTATTTTATTATATTATATATGTATATTAATTCATATTATTATTATTCGTTCATTTTTTTTAAAATGAAGAAAGAGTTCCAATGGAACAAACAATTTTTTTAGGAGATTACGAAAGGCTCGATTGAAGTCTCGCCGCAGGAGTGGTTATATATATGATGGCTACAGTGGATTCTGGCTGTCATATATACATTTAGAGTCGTTAAAATCTTCAGACTTGCTAGCCATGGGGATAGCCGTGGTAATCAGACGGATAATTTTAATAATTCTGACACTTATTATCAATCCATCAGAATTATAATATATTATTATTAAAAATTTTTTTAAACACTGGAATTCATTCACATATTGACGAGAGCTCCTGTTATTGCCTCGAATTTTTTGGGCGAATCCGCACATCAATTACTTTCTTTACACATTAATAGAATGACCTTTTTATATTGGGTGTGTTGGATTCCTTTGCATGGTATTTCTTCCAGAAACACGGATGATCCAATGTTTTGTTTTTTTTTTAGAATAAAAAAAAATAATAATGATGAAGGAATCACGTCTAGTGGTAATACTCATACATTGAAGCGCATACTAAAGCAATTAGCAGTAGGATAATTTTAAACAATAACCCAGGAACTGGATCAAAAGCGATTCACTCTTGATAATATTTATACATTCATCTTTAACGGATAATGCAAATATACAATAAACACCACAATTCCTTCTAATATAAACATAGATACCACTGCAAATATATATTGCGAACTCTAACAACATCATTAATAAGATTGCTGTTATGTAAATAGCAACACGTTGGTAGACGGTGATAGCAATAATTCGAACGATGTTTTGGGGCCCAAGAGGTGTCTTTAGAACAGCTTGGAGAAGCCGAAGTAAAGTTCTTTGATTTTGTTTCTTCTGCTTTAATTTAACATTAACTAGAACTTCTGTTTCAAGCATATCATCATCATACTTTTCCTTTTTGCGAAGAACCGAATAGAGTATAACATTACTATCTGTTATTGTCATAGTGATAGTATGCATTAATAAATCTTGATAAAAATTGTATTAATTAAAGAACAGCCAAAGACTCTTCATCAAGCTTTAGTGATTGATTCACTGTTTAGTAAAACTTCACTATATTAAAAATCATCATAGCGAGCAGAATTTATATATATAATCAAATGGGAAAATCTTATATTATACAATTCACTATATAATAGGTTCACCGACCGTATAAAGATAAATGAGGTTTGTCAAACAGAATATTCATTAAAGACGTCTCATACAGCCAGTGTTTATTAGAAATATCGTCATTTTTACATTGCCATGTTTTTTGAAGGCGATTTTTCGCTAAATTACATATTAATATATAAACCTTCCCCGAGAATATCACTTCCTAATATGAAAATGGGATATATGATTTATAGATAAAAATTCGGACATCTCCTTTCGGTTTTTATAAATCTTATTTAAAAGACTTGGCCAATCATTAAATTGGCCTGATACATGAAATCGCGACCAAAATGCATCATAAGAGATACTCGCAATAAAGTAAAACCAATTTATTTTTTGATTGTAGGTCAGGATTGTCTTTCGTCGTCGATATAACATCAGAATTTTCGGGTAGCGTGTGTACCTGGTTTGAAGGGTAATGAATGATATGCATGTTTTTGTTAACGAGGATGGCAAGGAAATCAAATTGATAGAAAATGAGTAACAATGACCCTTGATTTGGATGTTGTTTTTTCAGATTTCAGTAGTGTTGAAATCCAATTTGCAAGATATGCTTTGTATTGCGTTTATTGATACTCGATATTTTATTTTGTGTTAAGATTACATGGTCAGATTATCTAGAGGGAATTCAAAAAACTCAAAGATTATCATAACGTTTCACAGAAATTATTATAAATAGTAGATAAGAGATTAAAAAAAAAAATCTTTCAAAAAATTTTTGAAATAAAATTATGTCGACACACCCTCAAATCAAAGGTAGAGAATATATCATTATTATGTTAAATCACATTTTACATATTATACATTATATTATAATATCATAACATCATATAATATTTGTTATTATTATATTATATTAATTATGTTATTATAATTTATAATCTTTTAGATGGATGGTTCACTGAAAAGGCAGCTTTGTGGCCTGGACAAGGTATTAATTTTCCTGATTTTTTAATTTGATGAAATGATAAATTTTTCTTGCATCCTTACAAAAAAATATTGTGTATATAATAGCAATGAGTTTACAAGTTAAAGAGATCTTGTGTCATGAGACATCTAAATATCAAGATGTTTTAATATTTAAATCTGAGACATATGGAAATGTACTGGTCTTGGATGGTGTAATACAGTGTACTGAACGTGATGAATTTGCGTATGTTCAATAATTATTTGGATTATATTTAATTATGTACGTTAAATTAACATATTTTGTTTTTATAGTTATCAAGAATTGATTACGCATATTCCAATGACTTGTCACCCTAATCCTAAAAAGGTAGTCTTTACCATTTTTATTATCTATTATCGATGAATTATTTACATATTATTAATCACATATTTAGGTTTTGGTGATTGGTGGAGGTGACGGAGGCGTTATTCGTGAAATTGTAAAACATGATTCAGTTGAAGAAGTTACATTATGTGAAATTGATGAGGTACATATTCATACATTTATAATGTATATTGGTAAATAATCAGATGCTTATATATAATGATTTATCTAGGCAGTAATTAGATTATCCAAGAAGTATCTTCCAGATATGGCAGTTGGATTTTCTCATCCAAAGGTTGTTATTCATATTGGCGATGGATTTCCTTTTCTAAAAGACAAACAAAATACTTTTGACGTCATCATTACTGATTCCTCTGACCCTGTTGGTTAGTGTGATAAAAATAAATATTGTAATTATAACACACATATATTAATAATATATTACATATATAAAATATAGGTCCAGCAGAATCATTATTTCAAGCAGAATATTTTGGGTTATTGAAAAATGCATTGCGTCCAGGTGGAGTTATTTCTACTCAAGGTAACTAACTAATTGAATAACCAACCAACCAACCAACCAAATAATTGACTAATTAACTAGCTATTCTTAAACAAAATTATATATCTATCATTAATTAATTCGCTCACTAACAATCAATCAATCAATCATTCTTAACAATGATGATGATGATAGGTGAATGTCAATGGCTTCATCTTCCATTAATCTCTGAAGTTCAGGGATATTGTAGATCAGTATTTAAAGTAGTTGATTATGCATTCACCACGATTCCCACATATCCTTCTGGTCAAATTGGTTTCATCTTATGTGGAAGAGATGATAACGTTGATTTTAGAAAACCAATTAGAACTTGGTCAGAAGAAGAAGAAGCCAAGTTATTTAAGTATTATAATTCAGAAATTCATAAAGCTGCTTTTGTCTTGCCTCAATTTACTAAAAATTTTTTGAAAAATGCTGATGTAAAACAAAGTTAATTCCATGTCATGTGACTTTAATTAACGTAAGAAATAAATTGGTGACTCCTTATTTTAAAAAGGATAGGATGAAATATCTATAGACTTTATTTTTTTAGTAAAACAAGTACCTTTGTTTTTTTTTCGATGGCTTTACACTTTAAAAAGTCTTTGATTGATTCTTTAAAGAAATTTATTTTCAACGATGAGAAGGTAGAATCAGCTACTGTTTTTTCTTTACTACCTTGTAATAATATAGACGACCAATCATTACTTAAAGGTTTAGGGCGAGGCTTTTGAGACTATTCAAAAGTTTTGTTAATTAATTCATTTCTGCAAAACATTTTTGTAGTCGGAAATTAAAGAGTAGGGTTTAATTATCCATTTGGTTATCAGAGTGGTAGAGAACTCTGAGGTTTTGTGACTCGGTTTTGGTTATTTGCTTTGGTAGAAAGAAAAGGTTTAATTTTTGGTTTTTGTTAAACGTAAACGTTTTTGTTTTCGTAAAAGAAATACAGTATAACCCTCGTTTCAATATATTTTCATAATGTGTAAAGTAATAGTAATATCAGTATAACAATGTATTATTATTATTAGAGTATAGGTTAATAAATCACATATAAACCATTAAACTTATTATGCTAAATATGTCCGGTTTAGATATAGATATCACTATTATTCTCGGTAACAAACAAAGACCGTTGCCCAAACCCTTTAATAATCGTCCTGGATATGATATGAAGTATTTTGTGTCACACATCAACAATTATCATCCTATTTATTATGTTGAGAAAATCTTTGATATCGAAAGATCATATGACAACTTGTCTATCGTAAAACGGGATGAAAAACTTATTCAATGGGCAGTACGAGTTAGAATCAATCTTCAAGATTTATCAAGTAATAAAAAATATAGTTATTATCACCGATTGTTTATTTGCATCATAATTACTATCTCATTCTTTCATGTGACTGATCATTATCACCGATTTTGTTTATTTGCATTATAATTACTATCTTATTATCTCATCCTTTCATATGACTGATGATCATTACATAACAGACTAAATAAGAGAAAGATCTTACAATCAATCTTAATTACAGGTTGTGGTCAATAGTTCTTGAAAATTCATTCTTACAATTTAACTGGACAAAAGAAGCAAAAATTCATACGTATACGAGAAGAAAATTTCAACCAAATCATATCGAAGGAATATTAATTGCATATAGAAACGGTGATATCTCAACTCAACGTTGAACCCGGTTGTTTCATTATTCAACAGAAAATACCTGATAGTAATCAAGTTTTTCGAGTAGTTATAGGCGAAGAAGATAATTACTGGACAATAATCACTTTTTATATTTCATCCGCCCGTCGATACTGGGATAAAAATGTGTATTAATCCAATTAAGTAAGCTAGCAACTATTTTGAACTTTTTTTATTTGTACACATATATATATATATATTAACCAAATTTACTTGTAGAAAAATTTTCAACAAAATTACACCGAACAAGAAAGTATGAAATTAAATTAAGTTTAGAGGCTTCTATTTATTCTCTTATTTACTTATTTACATCTGATTATGAATATTTATCAGGATAAAAAAGAATTTTCGACCAAACATAATGAGCATGATCCTGATTGTAAAGACAGGTTTGCAATATCTGTTATTCAAATTTTATATTAAATCTGAAGCTTGCTATTTTTATTTAACATAGTATACATTTAAGGTTTATTGTGGATTCCGTATACTATGACGATTCAGATGCATTTTTGGTATACTTTACTGAAGAATCCGATGACATTTGTGATGAAGCAACTGGTTACCTCCTTGTCTGTTTTAATAATCTTGGCAAAATAGCATCAATTCGTATAGCATCACCATCAAAGCATATCCGAGGGATATCAAGCGAGGAACCATCCTTTACACTCAATCCTACTTATGACGAGGAACGTGATGTATTTAAGATTAATTTTACAGATTCTGCTCCCATGACCACGTTCAAAAAAACTGAAGTTGAAGATGTCGAGCTGGAAATAGATAATGAAGGAAATCTCGTTACATTGTTGTTTCATAATGCCAGTAACAAAATGTCAAACATATCAAAAACAAGTGCATAAAGAGAAAAGACAGAGATATCATTATATAATCATTTAAAAAAAATTTTAAATAATTTGCTTTTATATAATCATTTAAAAAAAAATTTAAATAATTTGCTTTTATATAATCATTTAAAAAAAATTTAAATAATTTGCTTTTATATAATCATTTAAAAAAAAATTTAAATAATTAGAAGTTGCATTGTTTTATTTTTTTATTATATATCGAAAATACATATTACCCGATTAGTATAATAATTTGCTTTTATACTAATCGGGTAATATGTATTTTCGATATATAATAAAAAAATAAAACAATGCAACTTCTAATTATAAATAAGGCTCTTTTTGGTGATCCACAATGTATCTGAATTTGAAATTCAGTGAGACCCAATTCTCGAAGATGCTCTGGAATAACTACATATGGGTCTTCGTAATACCAAATATACCTTAGTACAAACCAATTCTCTTCACACAATTCTTTTTTTAATTGATCCCGATACAACTGTTTGTTAAATCCATTCTGATCTCGATGAAAGAATTCTACATAACGCTCATGTTGTTCTCCTTGGACTTCAATTGCAAGACCATATTCTGGATAATAAATGTCAAGTTCTAACCCATATGGATATTCCCAAATTTTTGATGGAGGTCCTAAATACTCGGTAATTATTTTTCGACACAGGCCTTCATATTTATTTCGACAAAATGGACACCACCTATTATGTTTTATATGATTTAAATTTGCGTTCCATTCATGCCCTTTAGCACAACGCCATTGTAACAGAGCCTGGCAATTAACATACTTTTCTGAAAGGCAGTTACCATTTTTACTATAAGCAATTTGTTTAGCTTCTTCAATAGTAGACCGAATATTACCTGCACAATGTGGACACCAGGTATTAGTATTTTTTACATGATTTAAATTTGCATACCACGTGTGTCCCTTAATACAACGCCATAATAAAGGTAAACGAATATTAACAAATGTTTTTGATAGACACTCACCATTTCTATTATGCGCTACTTGTTTTGCGTCTTCAAGAGTACGACGGCCTACACGTGAACACCATGGACACCAATTTCCCATTTTTTACATTACTAAGTTGAGCTTTCCATTTATGGTTTTTAGCACAACTCCATTCTAGGGGAGCATGGGAATTGATATATTTATCCGAGAGACATTGGCCCTTTAGTTCTATTGCAATTTCTAAGTGTAAGTAAGAAGTTTATTCCGCACGCAATATGGACACCATGAATTAGAATTTTTTATATGATTAAAATTTGCATGCCTTTATTACAACACCATTGCAATGGTAACATGCAGTTGATATATTGATCTGATAGGCACAACCCATTTCGTTTCTTTGCAATTTCGTGTGCATCTTTTATAGTGTATTTGGTTTTGCGAGTCATTATGAATAAAAGTACTTTTGTTTTCTAATATTAGTAAATCTTTAAATTACACAAACTGCTTGAAGAAATTATAAGAAAAGACCCAATCATTAGCATCTCAAATCTGGAATGCTGTAAGAAACGATAACACCCCCAATGATAAGAAATTTTTAGGTCTAACTCCCCGTAAAGTGAAAAATCCTCAAACTCGGGATCAATTCAATCTCTGGATTGCTGAGAAAATTGCAATGTATAGACATTACCCTAGTATGTACAACATCTTTCGTGGTAGAGAATATAAAGAATATAAAGAATATTATATTCCGTATGATTGGATAGGTGATAAGAAATACCAATTACACGATAGATTGCATAAGCATGTTGTAGATTTGCTAAGAGAACGAGGTTACAGAATAGTTAATTCCAGACCTTGGTATGAAATGATAAAATGGGCAGATAAACCAGATAAATATCTTAACAACAAAAATTTCGTCAGAATCGAATAATACGTCACAACTATTTTACATTGATAGTTGACGATCAATATGCGGAGCATAGAGTCTCTGACTCATATTTTAATGGATTTTTTTTGTACCAGATTTCCCATGTAAACTGAAAATAGTTATTATTTGCAACATCTAGATTTAATGTAAGTTCATAGAACATCTACATCGTGTAAATATGGTCAGTTGATGTCTTGTGCGAGTATATGCAGGGTTCCCCTAAAATTGGATTAACCGCACATGGTTTAGATTAAAAGGTTATATGGGGCATGCTGCAACAAAACCAGACAAAGTGAACATTAGTGTTACTAAAAATTTCAGGGATCAATAATGTTTGTTTAACATCACAATTGTATTACCATGTAATGTGATCAATGATATTTGTCTAGACAAAATAGTTAATATGAAACTCATTTACATCAGATCTACTATGGAACCCAAGAATTATAGTGCTATTAGAAGTATTCTGAAGAAAGAACAAGGTGAAAAAATTGCTCCTTACATTTTCAAAATAAATGATACTCAAACACTGGAAGCTTATCTA